GGAAGATCTCAAAATAATTATACTGAGTGGAAAAAAAGACTTAAAAAAATGTGAAACATAACTTCATTTCTGTACAGTTTTAAGATGTACATAAGGGAAAGTGGATCTGCGGCCTGAGGGTGGTATGGGGGTGGTCAGGGAGAGATGGGTCACAAAGGTCCAGGAGAAAATTCACGTGATGGCGAGCTCCAGATAACTAAGTTGTTTATTGTCTTCTGTGAAATGGTGACTTCAAGGATGCACACACAGAGTAAAACTCAAAAGCCACACATTTAAATACTGTTATTTATTGTAAATGGATAATATAGAAAAACAAGTCTTTAAATTCATCAGTAAATTTAATATCATTTTATTAAATTGACGAGATCAGGCACATTTGTCATATCCAAATGTCTTAAAGAGTGCAGTGCAGAGGACAGGGTGCTTCTGTAGCTCTTCTGAACCAGCACATTAGCTGCCTATTCTCTTAACATTATATCCACTAGCCCGAGTCAGGAAATAAACAGAAATTTAATCCAGGTGCAGCTCTGCCCCTCCATTTCCCTTAGTGGTCTCTAAGCTTCCATCCTGCTCCACAGCTCCGGGTTTGCCTAAGCTGCAGCGTCCACTAATTTCTCGCACGTGTCGTGTCTATTCAGTTAAGTCCAAGGATACATTAAAAGTCTGTTCATTCAGTCATCGTATGTTGGCAGTTTCGATGTGATATGAGGAAGGGAAAAAATGTACCCTGTAACTGTATAAATTCTTGGCTGGGCCCTCTGTAATAAAAGGCAGATTAACAAGAGAAAAACAAACAGAAGCTTATTAACATGTGTATTTCAAATGCACAAGGGAGGTACTCAGGGAATAAGACATTCCCACAAGTGGCTTTGCAGTCTGGTTTAAAACAGTATCTTCACCAGAGAGCAATAAACCAGAGAGCTAAAACAAAAGAACCTGAGTCTCCTATCCTGGAGCATGTGGAGAAGCCAGTGCTAATGTCAGAAAGGTAGAAGCCGCTTTTGTTTTTATGTTTTCCTCTGGTGCTGTCTCCGGGCTGACAGCAACAGAGAGTACTCACTCTCAGGATGATGGTGGACTTCAGTCCTCAGCGTTTCCTCTGTAGAGAAGGGATGGCCATCTTTGTAAACTCACGTCCTGCTTTTTAACAAAGGAGGTCAAGGCCAGGAGCTTTGCTTGTTTCTGCTTCTCGGCCTCCAGCTTAATATCTGCCTCTGCTCAGAGGATGCTCTGGCAGGTTGGGCTGCCATGCGTCTGTATGGGAGGGCACTGAAAAGTGGTCCCACCTCACGCAGTCTATCGCAGAGACAGAGAGATGACCTGAGCCACGCTGGAAGGTGCCAAAAGCCGCTCAGCTGTGGCCTGGCAATTCCTTGTCTGGTGGGAGCTCAGCTTTCTCCTTGTCTCACAGCAGTGCTCACCAGATGGAGATCTTAACAGACTCAAGAACAAGTGCGAATACCATCCAGAAGGGAGGCAACACCAGGTACATGGAAACAAAGCTGCTGCAGGCGAAGGCGAGGGCGACCAGGGGCTACGGAGAAGTAGCAGTCCCAGAGCCGCTGCTTCTCCAGTGCACCTGCGCCCTGCTGGTGCTACTGTCATGGTCATAAATAACAGCTGGAGAGTCAGCGCCTCGCCCCTGAAGGGACCGGGAAACCATTTTAGCTCCTCATCGCCGTGACAGCACGCCTGACATAAACAACTTCACGGGAGGAAAGCTCAATTGTGCTGTTTTCAGAAATTCGGTCCATTACGGTGGGTGGGGAGGGCGTGGCAACCCTGTACAGTTTACAACCGGACAGCCAGAGAGCAGAAGTGTGGTCTTGCTCCCTGGCCTTTTCCTCTTCCTCGTTAGCTTACCCTGGACCTCGAGAATAGCAGACAGAGCCACCCACACGCGTGGGGAACCCTCCCTAGGTTAGCGCTCCCTGGGAACATTCTCGGGCACACCCAGATGTGATGTGAGACTCTCTTACGTCACTTTCCATACAAGGAAGTATACGGTCAAAAAATAACCGCCACGGGGCTGATGAAATGGCTGAAAGGTTGTGCTGCTCTTGCAGAGGACCCAAGTTGAGTTCCCAGCGCTCACACAGGAAACCCACACCTCTGCAATTCCATCTCCAAGGGATCTGATGGCCCCTTTCGGCCTCCAAAGGTGTCTACCCTGATACATGCACACCCCCAAAACAAACCTAAAAATGAACAAACATTATACATTCTGATCTGGTCACAGAACTGACTGCAGTGCTTTTGGCTTGAATCATCACTTGACACATCAGAACAGACCAGGACAGTGGTAGATGGAGATGCTCTTCCAGCACTCATTTCTCATTTCTGCCATATCTGCGCATGCTCTTATCAGTGAGCAGGCTGTGTGCAATCTGGGAGACCACTGTAGGTGATGGCTCAGTTTTCTGAGATTTGGTTATCAAGTATGGTGCCACTAAGCTACTGCTGGCTCGTTGCGTAGCTCCTGGTGTCATTCTTAGCTTAGATAATGTTAACTGAACACCTTCAAACTTCTGGATTTCATTTTACAAGAATTCCTCACCTGTTAGATGCCACTGAGCAAATTCTTCCATTTTATCTCATCCCTACATCACAACGACCAAGAAGCACTGTGAGACAGCTGCTCAGCTACTTCCTATCTTACAGATCATCCAAATGTACACACCGAGATACTTATGGAAACACCTGTGCCTCATCTAGACAGGAATCTGGCTGTTACTGAACTGATTGTGGTGCCTTGGCAATCAGAGACATAGGGAACATTATTACCAAAACACGAGCAGACTCAGGTGTGATGATGGATGGAGGAACAGTTGATGTCCTTTCCAGACTGCTACCTAACCTTGCAACTAGCATTCAGAAGGAAAACACACTATAACTGGCCATCAGGACCAGATCAGAAAGCTGTGAGTCGTGGATTAGTCCAGTTGTTCATTGCTGTGGAAAAGCAAACTGTAAAACACACATGAGCTACTCAGGCTTGTGCCTAAGTATCTAAGTGGTGGAACAATTGAACAGACTGTAAACCTCATTCATTTTGGCACAATGGTACCATCAATGAGTCTCTTAGCAGTTAAGGACACCAAGAACAACTTGGTTGTTCTAGATGCCACTTCAAGCATCTTTCAAGCTTGCATAAAACTACAGGAAAGTGAGACTCTTACAACTAAACAATGCGGGGCTTGACAGAATGAAAACAAGTGTGTGGGGAGTCTCATAAAGCAACTTTGCAAGGGGACAGAGGACAGACCAAAGTATGCCAAAAGCAGCCTCTAAAGTCTAAGCTCAAGATGGGCGGAACCCCCGGGGGCCTTTGAGTTATGGATTATACATCTGAGGTGGAGTTGGTGTCCATTTCTCTAGTAAGAATATTTTTTAGGCCAGGGAGATATTTTATTGGGTGTAAGTACCAGCCTTGACTACATAGCAAGTTCAAGATCAGCCTGTGCTAAATGAGACCCTGTGGCAATAAAAACAAAAGACCCGGATGTCACACTGTCTTTAATGATACTGGCTAAAAGCAACTCCCATGCTGCAAGGCGGCAGTCACCTGCTTGAGCCGTCACTGCAAGGTGCCCACGGCCCGTACAGGACGCTTAGGCCTATGTGCAAACCTGAAAGAGCAGCGAACAATGTTCCTGTGTTCTGCACTCCTAGAGATCCCTTTATTCTTCCTGGCCCAAGGATGTGGATTGACCTTGGGAGAAAGTCTGTTGATTCCACTCAAGTTTACAGGAACTGGAAGATCTAGACTAGCTCTAAGAATGTTTATGCAGAAAAGGCTGGCTGTGTAGTTCACCAGGATAGTTCTGACTTGTTAGCAATCTGGAGCAGAACTGATAATTAAGACCCTCTGTGGAATCTTGGGTTGGTCCATACATCAAAACACAGATAACTGACAATACGAGTCATTTGTAGCATTTTTAGTTTATGGAATCCCCCAATTTTAACTACTTGAACTCAGTGTTTTGCAGACCTTCCTTAAAATGTGACTGAGTGGATAAATACAACCCATGCTGATGTTAATGGCTTAGTCGAAACATTTAGCAGCCCAGTAGATTTTTAAACCTCTCTCAGGCTATCAATTCACCTATAAAATCTTTAACAAGAAACACTGTGTCAGGAACGTAAGACTGATGCTACAGCACAATGAAAAAGGTATGTTTCTGTGATAATATAGGAGACGTTGTAAACACAGCTCAGGCTACACAATGAGCCCTCTGATTAGGAGCTAATGAGACTGTCACAAAGATCTTGGCTTCAGGGATAGAGAGACAGCTCTGTGGCTAAGCGTACTTGCTGTCCAACTGCCAGTACCCATGTGGCAGCTCACAACCACCTGGAACTCCAGTCCCAGGGCATCCGGCATCCTCTTCTGGCCTTTGCTTGACACCGGGCACACATGTAGTACACAAGTATACATGCAAGCAGGACATTCATAAGCATACGGTTTAAAAACTGAACATGAATAAGCATCTCAGGCACATGAGCAAATGGCACACTATAAAGTACCTTCAGTGAGGAACCCAAATAGAATTCAATTTTTAGTTTGCCAGTTAGCCTGAGGACCTGCTTCCTCATTTTAGCCACATCTCCCTAAGTAAGTACTGACGGTAAACCAAGAGGACTGGCAAACTGGGCACTATGCAGTACCCTGGTACTTCCGAGGATGTGACAGGGTGGTGATACATGAAATGAAAACGAGGGGAAGTGGCAGCATCTTCAAAGAAAAAGTAATATATAAAGCCCTTTATGGAGAAAATCTCAGAATCAGTTGGTCGGGCCAGTGGCCTAAAGCTGAGGGGTAGCACCGGCAGGCGCAGTGCTCACGCTTGCGCTCGGGAAGCACGAGGTGTGCCGCCATAGACTGCAGTCACCTGACATCAGCAAAGGCCCTGGCAACAAAGCTGCTTTTAGGAGTAAGGCCCAGGGGTGACAGAACTTAGAGCTGACAATGAACTCCTGCCAGCTGAAAACAAGGCTCATTGAGTAAAAATTCCTTTTCAGGACTAATATTCATGGAGAAAAAAATTCCAAAACTATGCTAATAACAAATGCTTCCACAAAACTACACACACACACACACGCGCGCGTGCGCGCGCGCACACACACACACACACACACACACACACGCACGCGCACACACAAAAAAATCTGTAAATACAAGAAGCTGAGAATAATTTCAAATGAAATCCGGAAAAGCTTGCTTCAAGTTCAATGCCATTTTCCTTTTAAGTGGCAAATTAGGGTACATCTTCAAACACAAAATTGAGTTTCTGATATTAGCCATTCACTAACAGCTGAACAAACCCCAGAAGTAATTTCTGACGAAATGAGTGAGTAAACTAAGTGAAGCTGTCAAAGTAATTTCAGTCTAACCATCTCCTAGGTAAAGGGTGAGCAATTTATAAACAGTATCAATGCTTTTATTAAATGCTAAGTGAAAGAGGCCAGACACAACAGTTTCTCCACCAGATGATTCCACATCTAGGAATTTCTAGAAAGGAAAAACAGGTGTGAGAAAACAAGTCACAGTTTTCCAGAGAGTAGGAAGGGAAGAGAGGGACTCAGTGCAGAGGGCCATGGAGACGTATGTATGTTTCCGAGCACACTGACTGGTACAGGGCCCCGTGAGTCTGAAGGAAGAAGCTGGGGTGGAGACAGCACGACTTTTATAGTCAGTGTCCGGGCTCCAAGGCAATGAAATAATCCACATGCTGAAATTTGAGGACTTCATTGCCCCAACTCACCCAACCTGGCAGTAAACTTCGAGCAAATAATTCCAAACACTCCCCACCAGGCTTGATGTAGTCTTTCAGAACTTCTGTCAAAAAAAAGAAAAAAAAATCAATATTAAGAAAGAAATAGGTTTCCTTTTAAAGAGCAGGGAAGAGTAGCAAAGGCCGATAGGAAATGGCCATTGTTGTATTTTGGTTGGCATCAGGTGGAGAGGGTCCAGAAAAGTACTGGCTCTGTGGAGATCTCCCCTTTCTCCATTAGTGGCTCTTTCAGCTCTCATCTTTATATGCCAGTGAGTTATTCTTCTCTCACTGTTTTAACAGAAGAACCCAACAGCATAAAATCCTTGCATACCCTGTTCAATTGGAGAATTTTAATGTTTTTCATTTATCATTGTAAAACCAAGGACAATTTTATAACTTTTTTGTAGGTAGTAGCTGTTACACATAGGGCAATCTGTCTTTAAGTAGGAGTAAGTTCCTCTTGAACAAAATGATCCTAGATAGTTTTCCCTTCAAGTCAAGTGTCTTGTTGTTTAAATAAACTTCTTGTTTAAAATGAAAGGGAAAAGAAAAAAAGACAGCAAATTAGAGGCAGGCCTGTCATGGTCGTCCGCTCTCCTGTCGCAAAGACAGAGGAGCAAGCACCTGCAGCCTCCGGGCAGCCCCTCCCGCCTGCACTAGTTCTGGTTCACTGCTTTTCATTTGCGGGGGAGAAAGGAGGGCTTCAACAACCACGTGCTTACTCTCCAGTTTCCCAGTACTCTCACAGCTCTCCTGACAGTTTATTTTTTTAATAAATGTAATCCATGCATTAAAAAAAAAAACCATAAAAACAAGATGAGGACAATCTGCTTTAAGGCTGAAGAGAAACTCTAAGTTTGGTTTTAGCACACACTAAAAGGTGGAAGGACTAGCCAGAGCTGCACACACACTGAGCTAAGGGAAAGCAGCCACGACAGTCCTGCTGCTGTAACCCGGAACACAGACTATGCCCTTGCGTTCTCACTATAGGTCTTTGATTACATTCCACCGTGCTAGGTCAGTTAAAGAGTCCGTATCTATCTATTCATAGCTACTGCACTGAAAAATCATCTTTTGTTGAAGAAAAGATTAGTTAGGTAACTGTGGACCAAACTGCCTAAGAGAAAAGAAGACCATGGAAACGTGTTTCAAAAGCACCTGTTCACTGAGAGCACAGAGAACTAAATCATTCTAACCCTGACCATGTTCTGGTTGCTCTGACTGGCTATGTAACAGGAACTGGATATAGCAATAGTTCCAAGAAGAAAGTGCTTTAGCAAGCAGAACACGGCTGACAGTTGCTATGTTAGGCTGGCCTTAGGAGGAGCCTATCAGATTCTAAGAGTGACGGACAAGGCTTCCTGGGTTTTCTTCTTTCCTTGGGAAGCACAGATCAGCCCCAGGTCCCACACACGAAGGCAAGCACTCCACCTCTGACCTATGCTTCCAGCCTCGGGGCTTCTTCAGAAACAGCTGAAATATTTACAAAATAACAACTGTGAAATAGAGCTGGCGTGGGTCTGGGAGGAGACGAGAAGAGGGAGGAAGTAATATGATCAAAACACATCATATGAAACTCTCAGAATGTTCTTTGTCCAAGAGTAATATTCTTACTTTTCAAAAATCAAAGAGAAATTAAAAGCTATTACTGCCTGAGATAGAACCAACTCAAATTTGGGCTTTGATAAGTTTCAACATGTTGACATAAAAGACTTTTATATGTATGGACTTAAACAATGAAACAGAAAAATTTCCCTAGAGATCTAAATCTAAATGTCCCTTCCATTTTCTAGCAGTCACTGTGGTCTAAGGTACAGTGATGAGAGACCATGGTGTTTTCCAGCCTTTTGGCCCAAAGATGCTCTCTGAATGATGGGGCTGGAGAGATGGGTCCCAGTTAAGAACACCAGCTGCAGCTGAGAGACTGGCTGGGGCTCTGACTCTGGCCTGCTCTTGAAATTCTTTTCCTCCTGTTGGGCTGCCATGTCCAACTTTGATAGGATAGTTTGTGCTTCATCTTATTGCATTTTATTTTGTCATATTTGGTTGTTATCTCTTGTAGGTCTGCTCTATTCTGATACAAAATGGAAGGAGATTGGATATGGAGGGGAGGGAGATGGGAAGAACTGGAAGGAGACTATGATCAGGATGTATTATATGAGAAAAATATCCTTTTCAATAAAAGGGGGGAAAAAAAAACACTTGTTGCTCTCCCAGAAGAGCAGAATTTGATTCCCACATGGTGAGTCACAACCATCTGTAACTCTCGTTCCAAGGATCCAATGCCCTCTTCTGGCCTCAGCAGGCATCTGAGAGATATAAGGTGTACAGACAAACATGGAAAACAAAACACCTATACATATAAAAATTATTTTATAATTTTTAGAATTCATTTTATATTTAGATTTTGAAATATTTATAATTTAATTAGAAAGATATATCTTGAGGTTTTAAAGCAAGAGAGAACAGTTCATCTTTTGAGTATACATAAGACAGTTTAAAAAGATTCACAGGAAAAAGCTCTAAATACTATGTACAGACCATGTATCATGCAAGGCCCTAGAGTTATGACTTCACTATAAAAAAAAAAAAAGAAAGAAAAAAAAAAGAAAAAAGAAAAAGAAAAAACTCAGGAGTCTTTGATTACTTTCCATTTGGCTTTAATTCATACCTTTCTATAGCTAAAATACAGACACTAAACTAACATGGAGTCAAAAACAAAAAGTACTACAAATACTTCTAGAATATTACCATATAACCAAAGCTTGAAGATTAACCACATTAAGTCATTCAGATTTTACCTGCACATACTTGTTGAAATGTATGTGTGCTGCTCTCTAGCAGCAGCACAGCCAAACTGCACCTTATAGACTATTCAGGCCAAGACTAATTTTAAGTCACTATCTTTAAATCTTTTCTCTTAAGAATCATCTTTAAACATATTTCTATTCTATTTTAAATTAAATGACAAACAGATTAAAAATTATTTCAGAATAAAAAGGTTAGGGAGTTAGTTTTGGGTTTTTGTTTGTTTGGGTTTTGTTTTTGTAAATCTTTTTTAGCAAACAATGAACCCTAAAACAAATGGCTTATAAATCAAGTGTTGGTATATACCAAATAATAAACAAAGTTAAAGAATACAAATTAGATTTCCTTAAGTACAGCTGATGCTAAATAAAACTGTTTCTAAAGGAACAGTGTGGTTCATTTTCATCCAGGTCACAAACTAATGCACTAGCATTTATGCAGTACCGAGTGTGAGGCTTCAGAACCCTTCTAAGCCAAAGAAGGGTCAAGCACATTATGAACACTTCTCAATGAAATGCACCGTAAGGACGCCTCTGTGAAGCTGGACAGGGTCACAGAGACCCTGAGCACACTCTCTTTTGTTTGAGGTGTCTGTGTGTATCCGTGTGTACGGGTGTGGAACCAACTGCACTTGCCGTGGTCAGAGCGGGGTCCTCATCACGGCTCCCGGCCTTATTCCTTCGGGTGGGGCCTCTCTCTGAACTGGGGGTGCACCATCTGGCTAGACTGCCTGGCCAGGGAGCACTCTGGGAAGGAGGAGCTGCAGGCACACCCGGCCATGCTGGCTTTTGACGTGAACGCTGGGGGCCTGAATTCACGCTGCAGAGCTGGCACCCTTACCCATGAGCCATCTCCACAGCTCCCCTGTCTGCTTTCTTACGTTTTCTTCTCCTGATCCATCAACTATATTCTGCAAAATTAAAATGGTAAGCGAACCATAGGTGTCTTGAGTGGCAGCGTACAGACGCTCTGTTGTTTGGTGGTTTTGTTTGTTTTGGATTTGCCTCCATTTTTAAACAGTAATGATCAAATTAATAAAATCTCTTCCTGAAGAGGTTATCTAAAAATAAACCTGGAATATCAATTTCAGACTCTCATGGACTTCCATGACTAAATTCTCACTTGAAAAAATTGAGCATTTACTGACTTTTAAATACATGAGCTGGGCATGGTGGTGCACACCTGTAATCTAGCACTCAGGGAGGCAAAGGCAGGTGGATCTCTGTGAGTTCAAGGCCAGCCTGGTCTACAAAGTGAGTCCAGGATAGACAAGGCTACATAGAGAAATCCTATAAATACATACATACATATATATATATATATATATATATATATATATATATATATATATACACACACACACATATATATATTACACACATAGATACATACATATATATACGTGTATAATTACATACATATGTGTGTATATGTGTATATATGTATACACACATACAAACACACATATACATATATACATATATTTATACACATATATATATTTATTTACAAATAAACATAAGCAATCCTTACCTCTCTGCATTATTACTCACTCTTAGAATGAGTGGGTCAAGGTAAAAAATTTAGGTAATGTGCTGGAGCAGCAAAGCCAAGATTCACACACATGTGGGCTAATGCCCAAAGCCGACACTGAGCCCTGGCCCTTGCTGCTCGGTTGCTGATGAGGACTGTAACCCTGAGCACCAGCTTGAGGCACTGCGGCCTCAGCAGCTGCCTTCCCCATGATGCACAACAGCAGCCTGCCTTCAGAAAAGATAAACTGCCACAGTCAGGGGATCTTAGACCTCTCATCTATTATGCCTGGTTCCTGGTTTCAGAACAAGCAAGGGATTTGCTGGCTCTGAATCTCAAACCTGAGGACAAAACAAGGCCACTCACTGAACTACGTCCTCTGAGGTCCTAACGGCTTTCACCTGCCAAGGCCACTACTGGAGGGACAAAGACAGTAAAGAAAACCTGAAGTAACATAACCTAACTTGTGCTCTATTTTATAAATACTGTTATGAATTTTCTACATTTCAGAATATTAAAACAAACATCTAATTCACAAACCTACACAACATTCAAATACTAAATTCAATCCTTCTTTAAATATTTTCAAAGCTCAGTTTCAGACACGTACCGGCCAGAGGTGGCTTGTGTGAGTGGAGAACGCAGGGCACACTGACAATCAATTTCTGATCTGGAACAGGGGACACTTTTACATCTGTGCTCCTAATTAAAACAGAATAAGATAACAAACTATTACTTAGAGGATAATTTTCTAATTATATGCTACAGTTGCACTGATTTTTTTTCTCTTTCAAAAAGTTATTAATTCTAATAATAAATAAATTTAAGGATAAAATCATGAGGGAAATCAATTTAAAAATTCAAACATTTTGAGAATATCACTTTTCATATCAACTATACTCTTGACAAAACAAAAGGCAGTATAAATTTATATGTGTTTTATATCTTATACTTTTCACCTCTGGGCCATTTTCAGATTTCAAAAGTATAAAAATTAAGAAAATGAATGACCTCTGTGTTAATTTTAATTTTAAAAATTTTAAATTTTTATATAATTTTGAAAAAAAATCACTTTTCTTACCTTAATGCTAAAGCATCTTTTTCTCGAACTCTCCCCAGTACAAGACATTCATAAGGCTTTTTGTGTGGAGAATCCAAAGGAAACACGAATTCTCCTGAATTTGTGATCTGAAGGAAGGAACCAAGGAAAGCCATAATTTTTTTTACCATCATTATACGGTTCCAACAAAAAGAGAAGTTATTAAACCCCCAGGCTAGTATTGTCTAATAAAAACTATTGTATGAGCCACAAATGCAATGCACATATATAATTTTAAATTCTCTAGTAGTAACATTAGGAAGAAGTAAAAAAGAATGCAAGGTAATTAACTCTTATTGCATTTAAATCTAGCATGTCTGAAACAGAATTTCCATATGCAATCAATTTTAAGAGGTACCAAGATATATGACAGTCTTTCCTCCATAGTGGATCTTTCAAGTCTAATACAAATGTAATACTCAACAGTACTTCTCTATCTGAAGGGCACAAGCCAAATGCTGGAGAGCTACATATCACAGTACCATACTGGACAATGCAGTTATAAGGAATGTTTTAAAACTCATATAAATGGACATTTTAAATATATTTTATCATCTCACACATAAACAATCTCTACTTTTTATGATCACTTGTTTCTGCAAACCAGGCCATTGTTAATTCAGTCATTAATTCATTCAAATAGCATTCACTGACTACTAGCTACGTGACTAAGTAGTTAAAAATAAAGCCCTCTATTTAAGAGAGAAGAAAGTGGGTAAGTGATAAGACAGGAAAGACTGGTGCAGGAACTGGCTAGTGGTGCTATAAATCCCAGCCTGGCAATTTAGCAGAATCCTATCTCCAATATAAAATAAAACAGAGACTGAGAAGCTGGCACACACCTTTAATCCCAGCACTCAGGAGGCAGAGGCAGGTGGATCTCTGTGAGTTTGAGGCCAGCCTGGTCTACAAAGGGAATCCAGGACAGCCTGGGCTACACAGAGAAACAGAGACTGAGAGACTAGGAAGCAGCCAACATGATTACATAGGTTCTAGGTCATCCAAGGTTACACAGCAAGTTCAAGGCAAAGTGGATTACAGGAGACGGTGTCTCAAGGGGGGAAAACCCAACAGAGAATAAAGGGTTCTTGGTTCTCACATCTTCTCGTACTTTCCACAGTGGTGTTGCTATTCTCTGCCCTTATCCCCATACACAGGAAAAGGAGATGGGCAAAGCGAAGGGCAGTGAGATTGTTAGCATAGGGGTAAGACAAGGAAGGCAAGACAGCTTCCAACTTCTTGCTTGTTCATTAAACCACAGATATCACATCGGTGGGTGCGCACACACACAATCTTTTTAATTAACTAGAGCTCTTTACGACTTTATTCTGATCCCTCTCTGATTTTCTAAAGCCGGCAGTTTGGAGGCCCACTACAGAGACCAGATAACCAGACAAAGGCCTTGAGAACAGGAAGACAGAGCCTGACGAGGTAACAGCGACATGGATACACTGAGAACACCTGATGTCCTCCTGAGAGCATAGCTGACGCTGAATAACTTCTGAACTCACTTTCACCCAGTACCATTCTGCAATGACCTCCACAGACCACGAGGGATATAGCTCCTCCTTCACAAAACGCAGGTGCTTCTGCCTGTTGGTCACCCAAGTAACGACCAGACAGCCGGGAGCAGCCAGCTTCGGGATGGGCATTCGCTTGATCTGCTGTGGTGATAAACAGCTGTACCTAAAAATGAACAGAAAAATGTGAGAAAATTCACTTCGAGAAGGAAGCATGAGCAGGGAGAGACCCCGCAAACACAAAGGTCCTGGAGCCACACATGTGGCCAGCACGGAGCCACACTGACACCTGCTGGACTCATGGGCACTCACACATGCACCAAATTTTCTTTTACTAGTTTTAAACTGCCAGGCTGTATGGTTTTTGTTTTTCTAATTACTTTCATGATTTACATTTTGGTAATTTCCCCACACCTAACATACTTGTTCTCCCATTCCGAATTAAACAGATATTGTCTGGATTCCATCACTGTGTTTCAGAGGAGCTCCATCAGAGAGCATGCCCAAAGCACTGGCTGTGAAGGGCCCTGCCCACTGTAAGCCTCAAGTCCAGCACACGTCGCTGACCACGAGACCACCCATCACCTCACACAACTGCACCTTCCCGTGACAGTCCCAAGGCCCAGTGTACCACCCTGCTCCTGTCTTCCTGTTCTATCAGCTCACTGGGCTCTCCCAAGTCCTCAAGCTCTCATTTTAAAAGGCACACTGTCATAAGCCTCCTGGCCGTTGACAGTACAAAGGAAACTTGTCTGGCTAGAACACATAACTGCTCTACAAATATCCAAACACCACTCTTTCTCCAGCATTCCACGTGCAGCCAGGGAGGGCAAGCCGGTATCCAGTGCTCCGTTACTGCTCTTAGGCCATCAACTTCGGCAAAACCTCCTCTTTAAGAGTATGTTATCCAGCCATGCTGGTGGCTTCCTCAAACTTTCCTACAGAATACAGTTTGTCCTCATTCTCAATATTCTGAGATACCTCGACCTCAACCAGAAAAGCCTTGACACTATCTTGGGCAACTTCAAACACAACCCACATAATGTGCACACAACTGTTAGTCCACCTACACAAACAACAAACTCACCCTCTAATACCCCATTCCAGTGACATAGGCTAGGCCTTGTCGTCATTTATAAATGCCATGTGTGTGTGTACATATGCATGCACACAAAAGGGACTGACTCCAGGGCCCTGTGCATGCAAAGCACACACTCCATCCCCGAAGTATACCTCCACACACGTACCAGTACCACAATGTATACAGCTTCTTCATAGAGACAAATAAGGTGAAGGACAACACAGAGCAAAAGAGTTAGACCACTGAAACGATCAGTCTGTTCTCAAGTTCTCAGACCGATCATGGAGTCTTTTATTTACCCATCGTTAAAGAAATCCTCATACTTTTCAGGTCCTTTGCCCATTACTTCCCTTGGCAGATGAAGTTATCTATTCTTTAGTTAAAATAGAAGCCGCCAAGTCTCTTCATCTTCCGATCTCCTCCTCCCTCCCTCCCATGCTTTGTTTATCTACGGCAATCTTCTCTACGGGGAAATGCGTGACATTGTTTATCCTCCCCACAGTCTTCTCATTCCTCTGTTCCAAAATCCATAATGTCAGTCATTCTCCTGTGTCTGCACCTTCAACCTCTCTGGTAGTTCATGATCAACCAAAAGCAATACTTGGATTACACAATTTGAAAGAAAAGGAGATAATGAAGAGAGATGGAGACAAGGGAAATGAAAGAGATGGAGAAAGGAGGGAGAAGAGAGGATGTATTAGGCTTTTTAAAACAACATTTATTAGTCAGGAGTGATGGTGCATGCCTTTAACCCTAGCACTCTGGGAGGCAGAGGCAGGTGGATATCTGTGAGTGAGAGGCTAGGCTGGCCTACAAATTGAGTCCAGGACAGCCAAGGCTACACAGAGAAACCCTGTATCAAAAACCAAAATAATAATAATTCATTTATTTGTGTATAAAGGGGGTGTCTGTTGCAGGGTGTTCATGGAGGTCAGAGAACACTTTGAGTCAGTCCTTTCCTCCCATCATGGGAATTCCAGAAGTTCAAGTTGGGTCATCAGGCTTGGCAGAGTGTTTGCCCAGTGAGCCATCTTGCAGGTCCCAGCATTATTTTAACCTGGAATATCTCCCTTAGGCTCATGTGCTGAATGTTCAGTCCGGATTTTGGTGCTGTTCTGAAGACTGGAGGGCCGTGGGTATGGAGACTGGCTGGCTGATAGTTTAGAGGGGTGGTGATCTTTGAAGGTTAAGCCCACCCCTGGTTCCAATCTAGGCCCCTCTACACTTCCTGTCTGTTGCCATATGCTTCTACAGCTGTGAAATCTCTAAGAGCAAGAGCCAAAAACGTACCTTTAAGCTGCTTCTATTGGGGATGTTGTCAGTTTCCTCCCATCGGCAACTAGGCTATGGATGCCATGGACTTAAGTCTTCCTACTTCCTCTCCTTTGTTTCATTCCTCAATCAACTCCAGAGAAACTTCTACTACAACTCCACTCAGAAAGAAGTGAGTCTCCAAGGGGCAGACACCGGCATCAGGTTCTGATGTAAGGCAGTTTACATTAAAGGGCGTCAGGAATGGCTGACAAGCCTTTTCAGCAAACGAACTAGTGAAAGAGCTCAGACTCGGGCCCTCTGGGCTCCTGCCACCCAAACATCACACTCCCAGCACACCGGCTACCCCATTCTTACATGGATGACTTTCAGAGACTATTCTGTCACAGCAGGAAAACTATTATTCAAAACTCGGCAGTGAAGTGTTTTCAATAGCTGCAGACTCCTGACTGCCTTATCTTTACTTAACTGTATTGTTTGGAGACAAGGAAATAGTCACACTTCCTCTGGAACCAATACACTCAAAAAAAAAAAAAAAAATCAGTGAACAAACTCCAAAGAATGCATTGTATGTGTTACAATGATAGCCATGCAAAACCTGGCTTTTCAAAGGTAGCATACATCTTCATACACCTTTTTAATCTAGAAGGCAAACAGGCTTATAGGACTTTCATAGATGCTAGGTTTTAATTGGTCCTCCTTCCCGGCTCCTCTCTCTCATCTTCACACCCCCTATTTATACCCATCTACCCTAGTGTTCCCTTTTTCTCAACGTTCATATTGTGTGTTCTATTACCCTCCCTGCCCTCCTCCAACTAAAGTGTCTTATGACTTTGTTTTATGCAAATAAAAAAAAAGTCTTGTTTTTTGAGGCAGGGCCTCACTATGTAGCCTTAGCTGTCCTGGAACTTACTATGTAGACCAGGCTGGCCTCAAAGTCATAGAGATCTACCTACACAAGAGTCCAGCAGAACTGACAGGTATCCCCAGAGCTTCAAACTAGAGTATGAAGGCGCAGCCCTACAACTGAGCCCACTTTTAAAACCAACCATAAGTCTCTAAAATCCCCTCAGACTCAACATCCTGTCAGAAAATTTCACAGAACTTACTAAATGCAATCACAACGCAGTTATGAGTCGCAGAGGAGCCTCAGGACACTGAAGGTGTACCTCTCAGTGTAGAACATGATCATGGTTACACTGTGCTACAAAGGCTTTTGGCAACAACTGGACAATTCTGAATAAGCTCACAGATGACATTAATGTGGCCACAGGAACCTTGTACTAATATTAGTTATCTACTTGATAACTGCATTGTGATGATGTAACAGCACTCTGCTTTTTTCAAATGTGCACCAAAATTTTAAGAGTAACTTTCTCTTATTTTGGGGCTGGATAGACGGCTGTGTGGCTATGAGCACTGCCTGCTCTTCCAGAGGCTCTGGGTTCAATTCCTAGCACCATACAGTGATTCCCAACTTTCTCTTATTTCATTCTGAAGTCATTAAGAAAAATATAGACACATATATAGGATACAGATACAAACACAGATAGATAGATACATATATGCTCAGAATAGATACATGAATTCTTCACATAACTCTTATAACTTAAAAAGAAAACTATCACATACATTACAAACACTTTCCCAAGAAAGTTGAAGATAAATGTTGAGAAGAACTTCAATCTAAGTTTACAACAAAACAGGAATTATTATATCTGGTAAACTGAAAGATGAGAAGAAATGGAACTGAAAGCATTCACTAGAAGGGAAGCCAGGTACAATGCCACACACCTGTAATCAAAGCAATCTGGGAGGCAGAAGCAGGTAGATCTCTGAGTTTGAGGCTAGCCTGGTCTACAAAGTTAGTCCAGAACAGCCAAGGCTACACAGAGAAACCTTGTCTCCAAAAAACAAAAAAAAAAGAAAGAAATAGAAGAAAAAGTTTCTTCAAATTATAAAGATGTGTTTAAAGGAAATACCACCCTAGTAACTAACTGAATTTATCTTATGAGATGACATAAACTAAAAATGCAAACAAATACAGGATGAACTAGATGAATATATATATATATATATATATGTTATACATATTATTATTATATATTATATATAGCCAATACATAGGTATATGTATTGATTATTGATTATAATCAATACATATATATATCAATATATTGATTATTGATTATATATAACCAATATATAACTAGCATGACATATAATATAACATTACACATATATGCACACACACACACATTAGCTCCAGGTCAGGTATCTAGAACTAAGGAAATCGTGTTTGATGAGGGCGTGTTGGTAGCCTCAGATAACGGCTCCCATGGTAATAGTGTACTAAGCCAGAGTGCACAGTTTCTAACACATAAGTCATCCCCACTCACCTGTTACTTCTTTTAACCGATTTGTTCTCCCATGGCGGATCGATCACAATTACATCAAATGTCTTACTACCTGAAATCAAAGGCACAATCTGATTTCACAAACACCCTCTGCGTATGATGAGTTTAAGAGTAAACCCAGGAACTGAGGGTTTACCGAAGAGCCCACACAGTCATAAGCAAGACTGTGAGCAGAATCCACGGAACTCCTCAAAAACAAAAAAAAAAAAAAACGTGTTCTCCAAAAGTAAGGCACTCACACACAGATACACACACACAGATACACATGCACACTCACACACAGAGATAGACACACATGGACGCACACATATGCACGCACGCACACAAATGTAGTTAAGGCAAACATTTTAAAGAGAGGCCAGGAAGATGGTCTGCAGATAAAGGCCACCAAACCTGCTGATCTGGGCTTGATCTCTAGAACTCACATGAGAGAAAACAGACTCCACAAAACTGTTCTCTGACCCCTATACTACACATTATAGAGATACATAACGATAATAAGAAATTAATACATTTCTAAAGTACAGTACTGTTTTTTAAACCTAGGGCCTTGGACATGCTCAGAAAGCTGTATATAACTGAGCTATAGCTTCAGCCCAAGAGAGGACTTTCATTACAGACACAAATAGAATGGAATACAAGAGTTTACGGCATTATCCGAAGACACTGTAATGCTGAGTTCTGGGCCTGTAATCCTAGCACCTAGGAAGCTAAGGCAGAATCAGGGTATCAAGGCCATCCTGGGATGAACAGCAAGTTCAACACTAGCCTGGGCTACAAGACTCTGCTGTGGATGTTTCAGTTTATAATATGTAAACATGTTTTGTTACAATTCCAGGTTGGGACTAGGTCCACACCTGTTAAGTGTAGAGCCAGGTGGAATTAGTTGAACTCTGAGGACTCTGAGAAGTAAAAATATGACAGCCCAGAGGAAGGCACAGCTACTTGGAGAGGACTGCTTGCTGCTGGTTCGTCCTGCTGCTGCATTTGCTGTTTGCTGATTTGCTGGTTACCTGGACTTCTGGATTTCCCAACGACAGATACCGGAATTGCCCCCAAAGAATCCTACAACCCTACCCAGCAGGAAGTAGCAGAGAGAACTCTGCCCCCTGTCCCCACTAGCCTTCTTTCCCTCCTACCCAGTGTTGGTGGATTGGAAGGGAGGTAGACGCATTTGAGAACCTTAAATAAAGTAGGTTTGTAAAAAGTCTAAGCATACAAGACTGTCTCAAAAATAAACAATAACAGAGCAAAAATCAGCATTTTAAAACTAAACTTACATTCTAAGTTCATAGTCTTTAACTTCTGACACAACAGAAATATTATCTTGTCTAAAACAAACATAAAATTACTTACAGTTAAGAAGTGGCTGCATACAAGAAATGTCAGACAAAAGAAAGCTGCTTTTTGGTGGCAGCAAGTATTTCTGTCCCATTAAAGTAATCATTTTAGAAAAGCTACAGTTGTTTTCAATGACCTGTGAAGATAAATCCAGCTCTGTAATTGACATATCATCTTCCGTCAGCTGCAGTGTCTGAGGCTCCATTTCATTCAAGGAGGGCAAGTGCTTTGCCATCTCACATAATTCTGACAAATTGCAGGCATCAAGCGGTAAAGCAATGCATCCACTACTTCCATCCTGTTTTTCAACAAGTGGATAAAGGAAACCACTTTTGAGTCCTTCTTGGATTAACTGTGAAGATCCATCCAAAATCAACTCTCTGATCTGTTAAAAAAAAAAAATTGTTTAAAGTACATTAAAATAATACTGGTTTTAAAATCATTTTCCAGGGACTAGAGAGATGGCTCGGCAGTTAAGAGCACTGGCTGCTCTTAAAGTGGTTATGGGTTCAATTCCCCAACTCCCATATAGTCGCCTACAGCCAGCTGTCAAAACAATCCAATTCTAGGAGATTCATCACCTTCTTCTGGCCTCAAAAGGCACTAGGCATATACATGGTACACAGATATGCATGCAGGTAAAACATCCATATACATAAAATAAAATCATTCTTCCAAATAATTAAATTTCTACTGTGCTTTGAATATTTTAAATATATTCAAATCCACTTTTATTAAGCTTAGAGTAGTTTTATACTACAATGAGACTGTAAAAGTGTTGAGAGCATGCTTTTGAACTCTACAAAATGAAACACACCACATAAACTCACTATTAAGTATTGTGACAATCAATATGAATACAAAATGCTGAAACTTTGGGCCCAAACTACCTTTTCCTTGCTTGGGTTGTTTCTGTCAGATATCTGGATGTGGTGTTGAGAAAAGTGACCAGCACCTGAGCTCTGCACAGCAATCACTACATGCTTGTAGGATGTGGGGTAGGTAGAGAGAGCCTAGGAACAGAAAGCACATGCTTCTCCTTTGCCAGGACCCACGCAGTCCTTTGTCCTGGCCCAGACATTCCACATCTTCTGCCAGCATCCATGAAATGTCACGGCAGGCTAACTTGTTCATTTCCTAAAATTTCAGCCTTCAACAAGAGTGCTGGGAATCACATTTCATCTTTCAGTTAGGGAGAAATACCACAAATACTGTCCTAAGCCCATCTTTTAAAGCTGTCCTACCCAGTAAAGGTAGGACAGCTGACGTAAAACTTGTGCGGACACTGCAGGTCTCAGCACTGCTGCACACAGGAGAACTACATCCAGCAGTTACACAACATCTGCCCTTTTCAAGACCACAGCACAACCCCAAAGAGAAGCCAGACACTGGGCAATGAAACAAAGCTCAATAAACCTAAAAGGACCAGAATTTATTCTTATATCCCAAAGGACTTAAGTTGGAAATCAAGAACAAAAGGATACTAGGATCAACCCCAAATGCCAAGGAAATATAGTTCTCTTTTAAATAATTCATGTATGTCAAAAATGAAATCACAGGAGAGATGAGAAAATGTTTTTATCACAGTGAAAGTGAAAATATAAAATATCAAGACACACAGAATCACAACAAGATCACATTCATACCCATTAGGACGGCGATTAAAAAAATAGAGTGTTTTGGTGAAAAAGTTGGAACCTTTATGCGCTGTTGGTGGAAATATAAAAATGGTACAGCAGCAATGAAAAACAGAGCAGCAGTTTTGGGGCGGGGCGTTCAATATATGTAACTATTCCATGATTTCTCCAGTAGCAATCTGACTATCAGATGTTCAAACCAAGAGAAGACAACTGGGGGGGAAGAGGAGCCAAAAAAAACCCCCAAACATGTTTTCTCATGCAGAGTGGAGATTTGATGATACACACGCATATCATTTAACTCTGTGTATGCATCATGAAGGAGGAGGGACTGGTTGGAGGGAGGAGGAAACTAGCAAGAAAGGTTACAAGGAGAGAAAGGTAGTGGGGGTGGAATATGAGCAAAGTATACCTATGTACAAAATGTCATGATGAACCTCCTTATTTTCTAAGCTAACTGAAACAATTAATTCAAAAAATCAGCAATTCATCATGGTACAAGACATCAAAACATGATCACGGGGGGGGGGGGGGGGGGGGCGGGCCCTCCATAGACTACCCCATGCAGCTGTCCATCATTTGTTGCGATAGAACACTGACTCCCATGTTGAACTTTTGGAAGTTTTCTTGTTTTTAGGGATTTTTTTTTTTACCTACTATAAACTGTCAGCATTATTTTCATAATTTGCCTTGTTATAGATATATCATTTTCACATCATTTCTAATACTGAAAATAAATACAGATTTTCAGACTTTTAAAAAGTTCTAATTTAGTCTATGCATTTTTCCCAAATTTGACTCTACAAAAGTGCATAAATAACCATGCTGGTTTTGTACATAAAAAGCCTCATTCTACTCTCCCCATTCCTCTTCCATGCATCACTGGTCCCTTTTGCCCCCTAGTAATCCCTTTGTTTTCATGTCACATCTACAGTTAAGTAACAGTCTGTGTTCAGATGTTTACTGCTGAACCTAAGTTCAACACACGGGAGAAAACATGCAAAAGTAAAAACACTGAAATATCCTCATTGAACTTTACCAATAGCACAAGAGTGCATCAACTACTTAAACTAACAGAAGCAGATGTGGTGTTAACAGAGACTGGCTTAAAATGCTCATAACTAAGAAACAATACACCACTAGAAAATTCTAATTCTAGCCAAAACTGCTTTAACTCTAAGAGAAAGTCTTCCCTATTTTGTTCATTTCTCATGCTGCTTCACATTAATCTTTCTGCATGATCAGTAAGTATTTTAGACGTACCTTTGTATGATACTCCATGGCATCCAATTCACCTTGATTGAAAGCAATACATCTTTTACGCTTCTAAAGACAGTGACAAAAAAGAAATGTTGCAGTCCATCACAGAGTTGACATTTTGACACATGCTAGATTTTATATTTTGTACATTTTTTTTAATATTGTATCTATTTTTTAAAGGTGAGACTTTAAAAATCTCACACTGAAATCAAAATCAATGCAAAGAGTACTAGTTCCCATGGAATAAGAAGGAGCTGTGATTCTTCACAAGATGTTGCCAGACTTGCCTATTAGTTTATATGCACATGGCATAATTACTCCCAATTATCTTCACTTCTAAACATGAAGCATCTATAGGCTATCAAAGAAAGTCTAGGATTGACACAAGGAACCAATAATTAAGAGCACTGGCTGCTCCTGCCAAAGGCCCAGGTTTGGTTTCCAGCATTCATGATGGCTCACAACTGTGATTCCTGTTGCAGCGGATCTGACGCCCTCTCCTGGCCCCTGCAGGCACCAGACATAGTTATGGTGCAGAGAGATACATATGGGCAAAACACTCACATGCAACAAACCCCGAAAAAGGAAAAAAAGAAAGGAGGAAGGAAGGAGGGAGGGAGGGAGAGGGAAGGAAGGAAGGAAGGAAGGAAGGAAGGAAGGAAGGAAGGAAGGAAGGAAGGAAGGAAGGAAAAAATCTCAAAGCCAAGTATGGCCTCTCAAGCTTGCCATACCAGTAAATGACAGGTAGGGACAGGAGGGGTTCAAGGTCATCCTCTGCTACACTCTGCTACACAGTGGATTCCAGGACAGCCTGGGCTCCCTGGACTCTCCCCCCCCCCCCCCCAAAAAAAAAAATGAAAGAGAAACAGAGACAGAGAGAGCAAGCCCAGTGCAAGCGTGATGTTATACAGTTATAATTCCAGCGGCCAGGAGACAGGAAGATGAAGTTCAAAGCTAGCCTAGCAGCACGGCAAGATCGCCTAGCTAAAAATAAAAAACACATATTTCAAAAGGTATGTAGCTGAGTGGTGGTGGCACATGCCTACTCAGGAAGCAAAGGCAGGCCAATGTCTGTGAGTTTGAGGCCATCTCGGGATATAAAGCAAGTTCCAGGACAGCCGGAGCTATTACATAAAAAAAAAAAACCCTGTCTTTTTTTTTTTTTTTTTTAAGGTATTTAGAGGGCTGGCAAGATGACATTTATTGCCAAACCCAACAACCTAAGTTCAATCTCAGGACCCACCACTGTGCAAGGCCAGAGCTGGCTTCTGAAAATTGTTCTCTGACCTCCAGATGCACACCATGGCCCACGTGCACCTACAGACACTACAGAAACAAATAACGATGTTAAATGCCTTCAGAACTGACCCAGGGTTACAAACAAACCACTTCCACTAGCAGTATTCTGCATCCGATTATACCACACTACAGAGCACATTCGATCAGGAACACGGAGAGCTGGAACTTCCTTCTTTTCATTGTTGACCTGAGATTAACATGGTACCAAATTCTCAACGGGCTAAAATACATGTTGTTGGCTAATTATATAAAGAAAGTTGTCAGGCATGGTGGCAAGTGCCTGTCATCACAGCACTCCAGAGGCAGGGCCGTGAGCTTAAGGCCCGGTCTACACAGTGAGTGCCAGGACAGCCTGAACTACACAAGACCAACAAAAAATCTCTTACCCAAACTAAAAGCAATGCTTGGTGGTCTGAATTAGTAACAGTAATATACCTGAGATTTTTTTTTCTATGTTGTACATCTAGATGAATAAATACAAACTCATTGAAAAGAAAAGAAAAAATGTGTTCAAGTAAACAACATGCATTTCTGACTGCATTTCAGCTATCTCCAAAAGCAGAAGTTACTACTCGGAACTTGCTCACTCTAATTCTTGTTATGCGCCCCTAATTTCTTAACTAACTGTAAGGTACAATAGGTACAGGCACTGTGTTTAGCCTCGTGGCCAGTGAGGCCTGGAAGCATGGAGCAGACAAGTGACGCAGACTAGAGCCTCATGCAATAGCCAACTGTACTCAGAGCATCAGAAAGCTTATACTCTAAGGGTTAAGAAGCGCCACATGAGTAACCTGTACCATCACGAGGACAAGCCCCAGGAGGTGGACAACTAGGCGTGGCTAAAATGTGTTTTTGCCATAGAGGTAAATAAATAACAATGGCCAGCTGTGGTGAGTAAGCTGAACTCACTCCTGTCTACACCTGGGAGGAGCACAAAAGCACATTCCAAGAACAATTTCTTGTTTTTAAGGAAACTTAAGTCACGAGACTCGTTTTCACACAAGCACTTAGAATTCTTGGACCGTGTTACAACACAAAAAGAGTTTTGTTTCTTTTATAGACAATTTCCTTCTGAGCCTATTATTTACATTGATTTTTTTTTTTTACATTTATTTATTTATTCATTCATTGTGCATTGTGGAGAGGGGTGCACAGCCATGGGACCCATCTGGATTGAGGAGAACTTCTCAGTCAGCTCTCTCCTCCCACCAAGGGGGCCATGGTGACCAATCTCAGACTGCGAGGCTCAGCATCAGGCACCTTCACCTGCTGAGCCATCTCTCCCAGCCTCTGTTCACTTTTGGAAAGAGTGACAGGGTGTTAGGAAGTAAGATTAAAAGGTAAGTGATGGCACCTGCCTATAACCCCAGCACATTCGACATGAAGGCGGGATATGAGGTTTGTCATCCTCAGCCTCGGGAGCGAGTTTGATGACAGCCCACAATTGTCCTTGGATATGCTAACACCTTCTGCCTTACTAATTCTTCTTTACACTTAGAAAATGAAAAGATGTTTGAGATACTGGAATGAAATTTTTGTTTCATGTAAAAAAGAAAAGGAGCAGCTTAAAACTTCCTACCTTCCCAATAGAAATGGAGACTTGTTTGTCGCCGGTCACTAGATGTTCATTTTTGTTCCTCTGCTGGCGTTCATTGAGAACAGCCGAAGTTATGTAAGGTTTGGTGACACTAAATAGCTCGGATCGGAAAACATATTTCTGGGTGATCATTTCACAGTTTTCTCTGTCCTCACTGCCTGGCACAGGGGCAAAGCCTGTGGCAGGAGACACTGGATGCAGCTGAAGAGAATCCCGGTAGACGGAGGAAGTGGGCTTGTTTCTACCGCAAGAAGGTTCTTGATGCTGGCGAAGTTGGTAGTTTACCTTGTTAATAAAAGAGAGATGATCCAGGAACCACCCATGGGGCAAACAGTGCACCACAGACATTCTCTTAAAAAAAAAAAATCTGAGAATAAAGAATCAGAACTAGGAGCATTGCTCAGTTCTGGGTCCTGAATTTGATATTCAGTGCTGTAAAAACAAGCAAAAAAAAAAAAAAAAACTTTTAAAATCAAGTTCTTAATATACTATACTTGAATAATGATGTACTTTGTGCACACAGTAGGTCTGAGATGCAGACATACAGGGTGTGCATGTACACAGCACCACTAGGGAAAAACGCAACACTTTAAGTGTCTTTTCATTTTAGAGTTGGCCCTTCAAGCTTTTCAGCCATCTTAGCCAAACATGCCTTCAGAGTGATGGGTCTGGATTCCTAGTTTAGTCCTCCTTTCTTCCACTGCTCTCCATGGTCCTGTTTCAGTCCTTGGAGTCCACATCACCTAAGTAGTGAAGTCACTAAATCCCTAAAGGTGAGCGTCCTGTCAAGTCAAAGGACAGTAATTGTTTGTTAGTCACCATTTTAAATGACATAAACCCAACTAGAGAGGGCCACAGGATTTCAAAGTGTTAACTTCATGTTTTCAAACTTCATTTGCCACAGGAAGTCATTCCATTACTTTGACCCCTGCCCTACTTAATATCTATCTAGCTATCAGTGGACGAGCAGTAAGATTAAAAGACCGCTCCAGCCCATCCAAGTACAATATAAATAGCACATCGGAAGCGCACAACTAACTAGCTTGCTAGGTCAAAACGTCAAGATTAAGGGTCTAGACTCAGAGGTTCTCAACCTTACAATGCTGTAACCTTTTAAAACCTTTTAAAACCTTTCTCATGTTGTAGTGACCCCCTAACCATAAAATTATTTTGCTGCTAATTCATAACTGTAAGTGTTGCTACTTTTATGAATCATAATGTAAATATCTGTTGCAACCCACAGGTTGAGAACCCCTAGGAGCAAACCAGGTTCGCTAATTCACAACTTTAAGATTAAAGGATTGGATCTGTAATCTGCTTGAGCCACACTCCAGGAACTAGGTTTTTCAGAACTTCTTTATCTTCCTTTAAAACGTTTTGCAGTTCTGGATATAGTTTATTTAATTAAAATGCAGTGGAAATCTTAAGAGGGCACCAAGGAAGAAATAAGTTAAAGGCACAGTTAATAATAATAGAATTTATAGTCAAATTTATTATACAATTTTCGTGGACTAGTTTTTGTGTGTGTGTTTTTTTTTAAATTTGGGGGTCTCACTATGTAGACCAGGTTGGCCTCAAATTCAACAGACTCAGAGATCCGTCCATCTCTGCCTCCAGTGCTGTTATTAAAGGTGTGTGTCCCACTTTCATGCTAAGTTATTTCACTGAACCTCGAAATTATTCTTTTGTTTGGGTTGTTTTGTTTGTTTGTTTGTTTGTTTTGAGATAGTGTCTTACTATGTTGCTCTGGCTGTCCCAAACTCACTGTGCAGACTGAGCTGGCCTTGTACGCACAGAGATCCCCCTACCTCCCTAGTGCTGGAATTAAAGGTGTGCACCACAACGCCCGACCGACCAAAGTCATCGTTTTTTGTTCTATTGCTATTAGTTTGGAGAACTAAATGAGATAATCCCCATGAACTGCCGATCACGGTCTGAAATATTAGCATCGGCTAAGACATCTGGGGACTGCTATTGGTGGTGGGGATCCTGGGGATAACTGTGATTTTAGTTCCTCCGTCGAGATGTGAGCTGAGGAGACACTGTGGCCGCTAAGGAAAACTGAAGCTCAAAAGGCTGCTGACCCCAAAACTACAGCTGTAGCTAATGGCACAATCGATCCAGACATCTAAACTTTCGCCCGGGGACCTCCGACCACAGTCCGGGAACTGGCTATGCCTGCTAGTAGCTCCGACTCTCAAGAGCGGGAATCCACAGCAGTTACTTATCCTTCAGGCTGTAGGCCTCTGGCCAGTGCAGCATCACCACTCAGCAGTTTCTCCTGCAGTTTCTCCTACCGTCAGAAAAGCTCACGCTGCCTCCCAGACTCTCCTCATGAAAACAGCACTCAACTAAAACTGGTCCTGACCCACATCCTTTGGTGAAGAGTCAAAGAAAACCTTCGCGTCCCTAGTCCATGGGCGCAGCCATATTGCTGTACGGAACGCCATTGCAGGAGGGCTGGGGCCGCTCGGCCGGACGACACTAACTTACCCTAGAGGGCCGGACTCCTCTAAGGACTCGCACAAGGGCTACGAAACGCGAGGGGGCCTGCAAGGGCCACGCGCAACCGAAGTACACACTTCCGGTGACGAGACCGGCGCGGAGGAAGCGCGCGTTCGTACTCGGCGCAGACGTCTGACGTCACGGCGGCGGAGATTTTAAAATTCAAACCGCCCTTGGTTGGCAGAGGCGGAAGTTGTTGTTTTGGCGGCTGTTTTCCCTTGCAGTCGAGCGGTTTACGGAGAGTAGGGCTCTGGGACTCATCACGAAGCCAAGAGAAAGATAACTGCTAACGCGGGGTCAGCTCTGCGATTGTTGTGGGGGACCTGGGGTGGAATCTGCCGGGCTCTGCTTCCACGCGTCAGTAAGTTTGTGTGGGCAACGTTTGTAGCGGGAGAAGGGATGCTGACGAGGTGGGGCTGACCGGGAGGAGCTGTGTCGTTTGCTGCGTTCGCGGCTTAATGCTGCAGCTTAAAAGCCGTGTAACAGAAAGTCTGAAAAACAGCGGGATCTTGAGAGTAAAATTAAGTGGAATGTAAAAGCAGCCAAAACAAGGAGGGATGTAGGTGGGTCAGGGCACAGCCTAACGCGCTTAGAGGGCCTGGCTTCCCATCCCCAGCTCAAACAAAACAATAATAATACTATGTTTTGAAAAGTGGATGAGCAGCCTGTACATCAAATTGTAGACTGGATGGCTTATCTTTGTGGAAAGGGAGATTAGAACCAGAATGACAGTAGTGTAAAGTGTAAATGAAACCAGAGGAAATATTTTGAGGGGAACCTGAGATTTCCTGTGAGTTACCATTGAAATGGACACAAGCGATAGCAGTGATGTGGTCAGGGCTATTTACAGAAATTTTGTGAGCATGGATTGCCTTGTGCTGCAGAAATCACACATTGTTTGGGTTTTTTTGTTTGTATTTGTATTGTGTTGTACACATTCAGTGTTTAAGTGTCTTGAATACTTGAAGTTGCATAGGAGTTGTGAGTGAGAACTTCAGTGCACATTAACAAACAAATACAGCACTTAGGGAAAAGACTGCCATAAAGAAAGAAACTTAGCTTTGCTTTTCTAGTTGATAAAGATGATAACTGTTGCTTAGTGAACACTTGCATTGGAAAATCTTTCTAACACTGACATCATGAATTAGGTTATAAGCATGAAGCGCAGTTCAGTTTCTACTGGTGGTGCTGGCCGCCTCTCTATGCAGGAGTTACGATCCCTGGACCTCAATAAACCAGGCCTTCATACCCCTCAAACGTAAGTGCCTCCGCCTGTGGTTCTCAGCTGCATACTTTACTGTCTGGGGCAAGGAACATGTAAGAAATGGTTAGCCCAAAAGTGCAAGTGATGTCTTAGTGATAAATCTTGTCTCTTCCCAGTAGTACTGGATTGGGGGGCGGGGTGGCAATGAAATGTAAAAGTGGACATGATGCTAGGTCTCATCTCATCGTTTCCCTAATTCCCTAAGTCATGCCATAAAAGGATTGTAATGCCCTCTCAAGACTCCTTGTTTTCCTCTTTTACTTTAGAATTAAACTGTTTAGGTGGGCACTGTGATTTACTAAGATGTTTCCGGCTCATAAAGGTATTAATAATCAAAGCAGTATTATTTGTTTTAGTGATAAGCTATGAAGTTATTTCCTCAAGTTGGCAGGAGGGGTTGTCTAAATGAACTTGCCAGCATAGCTGCTGCAATCCTGGTATTCAAAAGGCTCTAGGAAGAAAATGGCTCAATGTGCATTCAAGGCCAGTGTGGACTATATAGTAAGTTCCCTAGCCTACAGAGCAAGGCCGTAGTTCCAAAGCAACCAACCAAAGAATTTGTTATTGTCAGCATTAGTTTTTTACTCTAAGCATTGCTCTTGCAGTTAACAGAAGGTTATTTCTAACCCACAGTATATCATATCCTATAAAGTCTACATATAAGCTAGCAGTTTAGTATAAGCCATTCTTAAATCACTTGGATTTATAGAGTATGAGCCTCTACTGCTTTTGGAAATCTGAATTATTTACATATCTAACTGCTTGAAGCACTTTTTTTTTTCTTACCATTGTACATTGCTTATATCAAAAGCTTTTGTTCAATTTTATTATAAGCAAAAACCTTACCATTGCCATTTTTTTTTCATAGTTTGGAAAATATGACTTAAATGGCTGTATGTATTACGGAGCTGAGAGAAAAATATTGAGTCTGAGGCCAACCTAAACTGCATAGTGAGTCCTAGAATACCCTGTAATACAGACGAAGACCCTATCTCAAAATTTTAAAAAGTAGACTTCAAAAAAAATTCAAACAAATATGTCAACCTATAATTAAATACTTAATTTTTTAAATTTTTATCCATACATAAATTTTAAGATAAATGTAGATTAAAATTTTTAACATTTTAAAATTCTACTGTTTTTCAGCTCATCCCAATGATAACAGATACCAAAATCTTCTATGATTTTGAAAAATTTTTATAGGTAGTGGGAAAGAGGTATTAACTCTCATGTATTTCCAAAATTACTTGAGTTGGTATTTTTACATTTATTTTAAAGAGTTGTTTTTTTGCTTTTTGTTTTTTTCTTTAAAGCAAAGAGAGATCAACCTTTGGAAAGCTGAGTACAAACAAACCTACATCTGAGAGAAAAGTCTCAATATTTGGTAAAAGGTAATGAAGTTTTTAATTATATTTAATGAGTAGATTCTTATAGACATTCATTGATTCCCTTAAAGCCAAAAAAAAAAAAAAAAAACATTGTAAAGATGCTTTCAAGACAAAAGGTCTGATCCAGTTTTCCTGTTTTAGATGGTTAAAATTCTACATGGTATCTACTTTCCATGATTCTAGAGATAAAGAGATTCAGATCACTGTTCTATCTTTATAGGGTGATGGTTAAGTCTATACTGTGTTCTATACCTGGTTCTCAGAAACTGTAGCATCAGATAGTAAAAGAGGAACTATCCTATAGTTCAACACTCGAGTCTCAACTTTTTTATACTATGAAGGCTTATGATGACTTCAGAGACAGTTCTAGGAGAGCCAGGGCTGTTACACAGAGAAACCTGTCTCAAAAAAACAAAAACAAAACAACTAGTATTTATTGGGTTTTCAAATAGGTTAAATATTGTTTTAAATTCTTTATATATGTTAATACTCAAGACAAAGACAATTTTCCCTTAGGAATAGTGGCAAGTGAGGGAGTAGAAGTAAGAAAGCAGTTATGGGGTGACTAGAAATAGAAGCCCTTAAGTTAGTGTGGTGCTGGGGATTGAACAGAGCGCTGCACATGCTGAGCAGAGCTGTCGCTGAGATACCTGCCTAGTCCCAGGAGCACATTTATTTCCACCTCATCTTATGCCTAAATCAAACTGCTGTAAACTCATACTGTGCTCTCCCGTGTTTAATTATTTAAAAATTAAAGGTTAATGTTTGATGCTGTTTTTACTGTGTGTGTTGTGTATAGCCTTGAAATAATGTAGGTTGAACACAAAAGGGAATACTTTTCATTTCCTTTTTAAAATATGCTTTTAGGACTAGCGGGCATGGATCCAGGAATAGTCAACTCGGTATATTTTCCAGTTCTGAAAAAATCAAGGACCCAAGGCCACTTAATGACAAAGCATTCATTCAGCAATGTATTCGACAGCTCTATGAGGTATTCTATAAGTTAAATTGTCTGAATTGAGCAGTTTTGTTTCCAATATTTTTTCTAATCCAGAATTTTCAATGCTTCATAAAAATGATTATAGTTTCTTACAGAAAACGGTTATGTATATAGTGTATCCATGAAGTCCCTACAAGCTCCATCTACCAAAGATTTCCTAAAGATCTTCGCCTTTCTTTTTGGCTTTCTGTGCCCATCATATGAACTTCCTGATTCAAAATTTGAAGAAGAGGTCCCAAGAATTTTTAAAGACCTTGGGTATGTAATATATTTTTAAGTCTAGAGGCCTTGTCAGAACTCAGAGAAGAAACAAATGACGCGTGGAAAAGTTTCTGAATAGTTTTAATTAGCGATTCAGCTTCAAGGTGAGCACTATGCAGTATTTGTAGGATAAATTGAAGAGAAAGGAAAACTGATACGTATTGGAATTTCGACTTTTTTGTTCTCATTGCTCCTGTAGCAAAATACCAGTGCTCGATAATTTGTAAAATATGGGAGTTATTGAGCTAACCTGCTCATGCTTAAGAGTGCTGGCTGGTCCTCTAGGGGACTCAGGTTAGGTTCTCAGCACGCACATGATGGCTCACAATCACATATAATAATGATTTCTCTTCTGGGCCCAACAGCTGCTAGGCACACACATGGTATACATACATGCAGCCAAAACTTTCATATACAGAAAAATATATAAATACACATATCCTACAAATATATATATATATTAGACTACCTGGTACATCTAAGCTTAGGCCACACCTTAATAACATACACATGTACACATGCACACATACATACATATGTAAACACACGAGTGTCTTGACTATTGGTTATGATAAATGGGAAGCCCAAACCATAATGGCACATTATCACAAAACTTTGGGTGACAGTATGAGGCTCAAAACAGTGAGGGGTATACAGTACAGCCTGGTATGCTGGTGCAGACCTTTCATCCCTGAAAGCCGAGGCTAGTAGATCTCTGAGTTTGAGGCTACCCTGGTCTACATGGCGAATATCAGGCTAGCCAAAGCTATCCAGTAAGATGCTGTCTCAAAAAAAATAAAAAGAAAGAAAAGAAAAAAAAAAAATAGAGTGCAGCCTGGCTACCACAGTTTGTAGTAGCAAAATCATAACAGTAAGGTCTAATGATGAAAACAGTGAGATCATCTTAGTTTGGTGTTTTGGTACTTGGATAAAACACAGACTAAAAACAAGTGGGGAAAAGTTTCTGTGGTTTATGTATCCCTGCTACATTGATCATTGAGGGAAGTGAAGACAGAAACTCCGGCAGGATCCATGGAGGGAAACTACTCACTGGCTTGTTCTCCATGGCTGGCTCAGTTTGCTTTCTTGTACAACCCAGGGCACCCGGTGCTCAGGGGTGGCACTGCCCGCAGTGCACTAAGCTCCCCCATCAATCTCAGAGCACGAAAGTGCTCCACAGCAATGCCTACAGGCCGGCTTAATGAGGCAGTTTCTTTATTGAGGTTAAAGAATGAGTCCAAGACAGGATATGCCCAGCCAGAGAGAGAGGGGGTGAGTTTGTGAGGACAATACAGTAGTGTTCAGAAGTACAGTACAGTTCAGTTGAGTTCATGCAGCTCAGTTTGTGGGGTTCAGAGGCAGTTTTTCCAAGCAGAGCAATTCTGTGAGAAGCAGAGAGAAGCTAGTTTGAATTAGTCACCTTGAAGAGAAGTTTTGAGCCAAAACAGCTGAGTTAAACCAGCCAGCCAGAGTTTAGAAGACTCAGGTCAGGATCTCAGCACCCATGTGGTGGCTCACAATCATATATAATGATTCTTCTGGCCTCAGCAGCTACCAGGCACACATGTGTTATACATATATGCAGCCAAAACATCCATATACATAAACTATACATACATAAACAGAGCTAGGAAAGGGTAAGCAGTAAGTCTCAGGCTGAAAACATTCAAGGCCTAGGTTAGCAAATGGCGTCTAGTAGCTGAAGCCTGCAATGTCTGGGCTTGTAGGTTAGAATGTATGGTGACTAGAAGCTTCTGGGCCTAGGGACAGTTAGATATTAACGCTCTGGACTCAGCAGTGTAGCCATTATGCTTTCTGATGTGGTGGCTCCTTTTCCCCTGATTCCTCATAGGTATCCCTTTGCACTGTCCAAGAGCTCCATGTATACAGTGGGAGCCCCTCACACCTGGCCTCACATCGTGGCAGCCTTGGTCTGGCTCATAGACTGCATCAAGGTATTTAGTAGTTGATGTTTAAATGTTGCTTTTGGTTTGGTTTTTTAACAAATATTTTCTATTTCTCTCCCAGTCTGATTTTTGCAACTTGTCTCAGAATCTGTTTCCGTTTGCAAAGCACATTTGGCTTGCAGTTCTTCAAACTGTTAGCATTATAAGAAAGATGAGCAAGGAGAAGTTCTGCTTGACTTGGAGATTGTTTTCTTGAGGTGTTAGAGATTAGATAAAAATGAACCCATAGTTTCTTCATGAAATTCATTTTCTCCTTTTTTTTATTAAATTTTTATTTTTTATCTTAATTACAGTTTATTTACTTTGTGTCCCAGATGTATGTTTTCTCCTTTTTTATTTTCATTACTAAACAAAATCAGTATTCATTACAAAGATGGGGAAATATAAAATGAGTATTCTCCCAACTTATAGACAAAAGTTGTAATTTTATTTGGTTTTGTGGTATTAGGAGCTGAACCCAGGGTGCCTCTGCCACTGAGCTGTACCTCAGCCCTGGGTATAGGTTTCAAAGTCCTGTTTGCTCTATAAAATGTACACAATCATGGGTTGCATGCTGGTGTTTCCATGATGGATGACACAATAGTTCCGTAAAATTATCATAGATATGAGCTATTTCCATCACTTAGTGGTGAAGCCACTGTACAACTTACTGTGTCTCTAGTGATTCTGATATAAACCTGTGCTGGAGCCATATTAATATAGCATATGCTGCCTAACGTGCAGAGTGTACAAACTTAAGACAAATAATGTTTACTGTAAAACAGTAACTTATTATTCTGGAAGCAGCCTCATGTATTATGTCTCTTGACTAGATCAAGGAGCCACATCAAATGACTAACCTATACCACGTAGGTTTGTGTAAGTACACTAGGAGGTTCACACAGCAAAATCACCTGACCTTTCTTGGAATGTATCGCCATCATTAAGCAATGCATGACTGTTTATTTTGTAAGCTTTTGCTACGTACCGACAAATCTTTCTCTAGGGAAACGTGTAGCTGTTAAAAAACTAGTCAGATGTGACAGCACATACTTTTAGTCCTAGCACTCCCAAGGCAGAGGCAGGTGGCTCTCTGAGTTCAAGGCCAGCCTGGTCTACACGGAGAAGCTCTGTCTCTGCTCGGCCACGTGTGAGCATAGTACGCCTATGGTTTGGTTTGTTATCAGGTTCCTTTGGAGTGAGAGGGAATGGCTAGGATATGGTGAGTGGTTATTTTGGTTTGGCTTTTTGGAATGGAAACTTTTTGTGTTTCACAGCTAGTCTTAAAATTTTCCCACCTCAAACTCCTAAGTAACTGGGCCTCTGGTGCTTGGCATCATGTCTGGGTTTTTGGTTTTTACTGACTTCCACTTCTCTAGACTATGCCCCATCTCTCCAAAACCCAAACCTTTCCCTACCCTCCCTAACCCCCATATCTGAGCCTCCTGTATGCTATGCAAGCACTCTTACCCCGAGCTGTGCATCTAGTTCTGATGTTTTAAAAATGCATATTTTTCTGTGTGTATTGCTGTGGGTGGGCATGCTGATGCCATGGCACACATGTGAAGGTCAGAGGGCAGCTTTTGGAGTTGGTTACTGAGCCAGGTCCCTTGTTCATGTTTTTAACAGTTGACAGCATGACAAAGAAAAAGAATACAGCTAAATTTTTTTCATATTTTTATTTTTTTGTTTTTAAAGTTGGACATAAAAGTTTCATACAAGAGTAATTACCTGGGGCTGGAGAGATGGCTCAGTGGTTAAGAGCACAGTCTGCTCTTCCAAAGGACCCAGGTTCAATTCCCAGCACCCACATGGCAGCTCAAAACTGTCTGTAACTCCAGTTCCAAAGGATCTGACACTTTCACACTGATGCATATAAAATGAAATTAAATAAATTTAATAAAAAGAAATTATCTTAAAAGAGTAATTACCTATCATTTTCTTTTTTCTTTTATATCATCATTACTGTGGCATGTGTGGTGCATACACACAGGCATACATGCTATAACATGTGAGATCAAACCCATGCTGCCAGGGCTTTATAACATGCTTTTACCTCCCTCTCTCCAGCCCTCTTTTCCTGTTTTCCTATCAATCTACAAGAATGCTGTTTTGTTTGGGGGAGGCTTGTTGGTTCTGGTGGTATTTTATTTGCTTTAGGGTGAAGCCACTTGGGAGCAGAGCAAAATGGAGTTCATCAACCAATACATTATTTATGTAGGTGAAGAGAACAATGTTTTCAGAGCTGGAGAGATAGCTCAGCACCTCGCCCACATCCATGTAAGGCAGACTAGGTTTTTGTTTTGGAACTGTAAGAACACATCTCTGTGGTCCAGGATTTTGCACAGAGGATCCCACTCCTGTTACTAAGATTAGCACCCTCCTTGCTTGTCTCTGTTCAGTGCAGGGAAAGGAGCTGATGCTAGAACAAGGGGAGGTGAATCTTTTTGAGTTCAAGGCCTGGTCTACAGAGTAACTCCAAGACAACCAGGGCTACACAGGGAAAAACCTGTCTCAAAAAAAAAAAAGAAAGAAAGAAAACATTTTTAAAATAAGTGTTTTTAATCTCTGCATTTTTAAAGTTGGTGCTGTTTCAAACAAATCTAAGTGCAGTACTCTTCTTTCCTGGAGAGACGTGCCAAAGCTCCCAGGTCTGAGTGTGGGCCTGTCCTCCATCCCTGTTAGCAGTGCTAATAGGCAGTGGGGTGCCTTACCTTAGAGAGAAGGTAGACGGCCTGTTCTGGTTCTTGAGCTCTGCGTTCCCCATCTCTCAGACCTCACGAAATTGGTCATTCTGCAGCCTGTTGAAAAATAGCAGGCAGAGGGTGAGTTGCTGCTGCTTGCCTGAATCTGTCCGAGTCTTAGAGAAGGGCTTCCGTGGGGTGCCTTCAGCACAGGAAGATGAAGCCGAACAAGCAGCCTGGCTAAGTGAATGACAGTGTCTCCTAAAGTCCATCTCTATTCCCAAGATACGAACACTGATGCTTTCCAAAAGAAACCGTCTTTGGGCTGTTTTGTTTGTTACTTGTTTTATACAGGTCTCACTGTGCCCAAGGCTAGCAGGACCTCCCCAGCCTTCCTGCCTCAGCCTCCTGAATGCTAGTGGTATACTGCAGGCAAGCACATTCTTACCAGTTTCAAACTTAAGCATCTGTAGTGCTTCTGAAATTTCATATTGTAAAATGCAATCTATAATTCCTATTTGTGGGATGAAAGTTAGACGTTTAAAAGCTGGGTGTGGAGACACACACCATTACTCCTAGCACTTGGGAGGCAGAGGAAGGCTGTCCTCTGAGTTTGGGTCCAGTGTGGTCTACATACAGGGGTCCAGGATAGCCAGGGCTGTCCCAAAACACATATACACACACACACACATACACACACACACACACAAAACCACATAAAGGTTATGTTTTAATGTCTATAACAAGCCAGTTAACTAATAAAAACATGAACAGGTCTCCTTATACATGCTGTACTATGTGTGCACACATGTGCACCCCTTACATACACGAAGTAAATATAAAACATGTATGTGTTCTTAGGTTTTAGTAACCGCAAATCTTTGCTTAGTTATTGAAATATGAATATAAATATATCTGTATACATTACACATAAATGTATATATTTATATAAATATATGAATAAATATTTATAAATATATATATAATACGTAAGACTCAATATAATCTTTTTTAGGACTTTCAGTTGTATGATTGAATGCGTCTAAAAATTACTCAAAAAAGTGAATTTTATAAGCTATCAATCAGCCAATTTAATGTGTTGTTTATGTGCTAATTAGATTCATAATGCCATGAAAGAAAGCTCACCTTTATTTGACGATGGGCAGCCTTGGGGAGAAGAAACTGAAGATGGAATTATACACAATAAGGTATACTATATATTATAAATAATGTATAAAGAGGTTGCTTGATAATATTAAATAAAAACTGTTCTTTTATAGACCTTGTCTTTTGCTTTCTAACAAATATAAGGTGTTTTTTTTTTTTTTAACATGCTTAATTCACTTTATTTTTCTTATATAAAAACCTTTATGTGGTAGGCACAGCTGGAGCATCAGTCTTCTGAACAGAAGCTCTGGTATAGATTTTCACAAGATAGTCAGTGAATTTTTTTAATTAAATTTTTATTTTTTATATTAATTACAGTTTATTCACTTTGTATCCCAGCTGTATCCCCCTCCCTCATTCCCTCCCAATCCCATCCTCCCTTCCTCATCTCCTCCCTGCCCCTCTCTAAGTCCACTGATAGGGGAGGTCCTCCTCCCCTTCCATCTGACCCTAGTTTATCAGGTCTCATCAAAACTGGCTGCAATATCCTCCTCTGTGGCCTAGCAAGGCTGCTCTTCCCTCGGGGGGGGGGGGGGGGGGGGGGAGGGAAAGAGCCAGCCACTGAGTTCATGTCAGAAACAGTCTCTGTTCCCCTT